GAGGGTGAGTGGGTGTGAGTGTGAGGAGCGTGGCTGTGAGTGGGAGTGGGAGAGTGAGTGTGAGTGTGAGTGAGAGTGAGAGTGGGAGTGTGAGGGAGTGTGAGTGTGAGTGAAAGTCGGAGAGTGAGAGAGTGAGCATCTGAGAGCACAAAGTACTGTGCCTGCCACGAAATCTGCACTTCGAAGTTCACCAAGCGCTGTGCCTGCCACGAAATCTGCGCTTCGAGGTTCACCAAGCGCTGTGCCTGCCACGAAATCTGAACTTCGAGGTTCACCAAGCGCTGTCCCTGCCACGAAATCTACACTTCGAGGTTCACCATGCGCTGTGCCTGCTACGAAATCTGCACTTCGAGGTTCACCAAGTGCTGTGCCTGCCGCGAAATCTGCACTTCGAGGCCCACCAAGTGCTGCGCCTGCCACGAAATCTGCATGGACGATGTTGAGAGGCATGAATGTACTGTAAATAGCAACGAATTAGCCGTTCACGCCCGCACGCCTCAGCGATCTAAGCACACCTTCCTATCACCTACCGTAAGAACCCCTCAGTGTGCCCACACTGTTTGGGGAAAAATATTGATCAGACACTTTGTCGCCCCGCTTCGTTGTAGAAGCGTGATCATGCATGGACCATGAACCCGACTTTCAGACAGCCTTTGGTGAACAGGCAACTTCTAGTAGTTTGGGAGCTTGGGTTTAGATCCAACCTTTTATCCACAAAAATGCACAGGAAACAGATGATTGTGATTTGCAACAATGAGATCTAGCGCGCAGGAGGTCCAACACCAGTTCATAAAGAGTTTTGTCTTCCAACTCTGTGGAGCAGATGAAACCCATTTAGTTGCTGTCGCAGAGGTTGAGGAGCACTGCCGTCATGCAAATGTCGGTGTATGGGGGTACTTTGGACAGCAGTCATTCAACCCGTGGGCGTGTTTTTTGATGGTTGGTGGAGTCAGAGCGGGGTACTCAATACTGAGTTTATATTATTTTTATGTTTCACTGATTGAGAGGACGTATATAATAGTACCAACCAACGTCCATTGACTTTCCTGGTTCAACTGATAGACATGGAGGGAGAAACAAGAAGAGAGAAAACAGTCCAATGTCTTTGAAAGCCACATGCGCCACACTACCGATTTTGCCCATCTGGTTGACTCGTTTGTTTCCTTTGCTAACAAATGGTGCGGCCGTTGAATCTAAAGAAATGAAAGAAGCTTCAGCCGAGGTGGATATTTCGCTTGAAGCATTCGGTTCTGGCTGGACCTCAGCCAGAGAGTTAGATCTCCTCTTTCATCCTGTTTGCTTGATTGTCATCAGAGATGTGACAGCATGGAGCCGAATTGGAGCATGGAGCAACAAACTGAGACCAAGGCTGTGCGGCTGAAATCAGGAGAAGAGGAGGCACAATATGTCTGGGTGTGTAAAGGCCAACACGCCGTTTGATAGGAGTCTCATGAACGATTGATACTACCAGAGTCATACTTTTGTTTGTCGCCAAGGAGGCGAAGAAAAAGGATGTAAGGATTTCCTTATATCATGAGGCCCCCTTTGAAGGCAAAGTTCATGTGGGTCAATTGATGGCCAACTGTCGCAATGTCCCATCCAAGAAACGTGCCAAAGACCTTGCTTGCTCCAGGACCTTCTCTATTTGGACAAAAATGCAGATGTTGGAGTCAGCTGGAGAAAAGCAGGGCCATTTGAACGTTTCCCAGAGGCAGGTACTTACGGCTTCTGCAAGTGGAGGGATCACAGCCAAATGATGCTTTTGCCAGGTTTGGCCTTGTGCAACTTGTCATTTCCCTGCTACCATTTCAACACTTAAACCACGGTCGCACGGTTGTCAGGCCCTTTCAACATGTACTCTCAGCAGATAGGGAATTGAACAATTACACAGTGTGGACTCCGCAATCAAAACTTGTGAGTTGCAAAGCCAGAAAGGACGGTCATATTGGTCGTAGAGGATCAAGTGGAAATTTGCCGTCGATCGACTTGAAAGAAGCTTGACCAGGCACCTAGAAATGGCTATGGCTTTGATGTGGATGTTTCATTGCAGGAGACCAACCAAGCTCAGGATGTTTAAGTGTCAAGCATTTCATTGTGAAAGACAACGTTTCAGACGGGAATTTACTTGCTTCTTTGCTTCTTATCATAGCAAATGGAGAACTATGCAAAGTAAAGCTGTGGCCAAGACACTCGGCTGAGGCATGCAGGTTTTCTGCAGTTTTCTTGTACTCATCATTTCAGGATGTTTGGGATGCTGCTGCCAGCTGCTCACCATTGCTGCTGTATCATTTTCGAATGCCTTTCCTTACAACTTCCTGAATCAAAGCAATGAGCAACTTGTTCACAACATCATTGCAAGACAATGACTTATTGATTGGCTCAAAGACCAACATTGTTTCTTTACTGAACATTTTGGCAAGAGCACAGAATTCAGAATTACTGTATACATGGCGTTTGACCATGATTTGCGGGTGCCAATTCACACATTTTTCAAGCGTGACCTACGATGCCAGCAATTGTAACCGAGGTGACCACGCACGCGTTTCACGAGACACAAGAAGCCTGGAGCCCGAATCTGTATTGTGTGTACCACGGTTCTTCTTCATGTTCGGTGCAAGTATATACGCATTCACTTTTCGGGTGCAGGTGCCAACATAGTTTTGATGCTGCAACCTTATAAATGCACCCCTTTGATGCAACAGTCCAAATATCGCAGCCAGGCGTGTCACTGACTTGCACTGGCCATCGGTCACTCATCAGGTTCCAGATAGCAAGAAACTATACAAAGTGGCATTGGTTTTTGCTGACCAAGGTTTCCAACTGTCAGCACTTTGTGCGAGAGAGCTTGGAAGAGCTTTCCTGCAGGCTTTCACGAAATGCACCCACTTAGGTCACCTTGTTTTGCTTTTTGGGGAATTCGGGGTGATTTTTGCATTTGCATCCGATTTCATGTGTGTGAGGGGGCATCTACAAGCTGAAGGCAGGAACATGGTAGTGTCTTTGTGCAAGCAAATGATGCCACTTAATATGGATGAGACAAATCGATTCGGTTGGAGGGAGGCATGACGTGGAATATCCCAGAACTCTTTGTCTCATCCCACTTGGTATGCTGTGGATGAATCAGGCCCCATGACACTGCGCAACCAGAGTGCCCGGCCACCAAGCCCGGCAGAAGTGACAAGAGTGTTGTGCCAAACGCATAAGCTGTAATCTATGGTATGAAGAAGTAGTCAGCCCTGCCCCATGTTAGACTAGCTGCGACTAGCTGTATTCGTGGCTCAAGAAACAAAAGTGAATCTGAACAAGCAGCCTTGACTGTGGAGGTGCTGATGTACCTTCCAGACATGATGGATTGAAACTGAACTCCCAGCATTGCTCCAGCCTTGCCTCCATCGCAAAGGTTGCTGACGGCCTGCACTACTTGGGTTATTTGGATGAACAGCGGAAGGCTGGTGGAGAAGTGGAATGTGGACAAGAGTCAGTTGGTGGGAGCAAGTAAGCCAGCAATGTCTTAGTTGAACAAGTATGGCCAATGATGGCAGGCACTCAGCTCGAGCCCCGTGCAACTTCAACGACTCTGGGCCTCTGTCATGAGCGCGGAGCTCGAATCTGATCACACACTACTGTACAGTACAAGATTACATCATCGTACAATACAATACCATACCATACCATACCATACAGACAGACAGCCAGGCAGGCAGATGGACAGACCTACCTACATACCTACCTACCTCACTCTACCTTACCCTACCTACCTTTCCCTACCTTACTCTACCTTACCCTACCTTACCTACCTACCTGCCCAGCTCTGATTGTTGAGGAAGAATACCTGCGGCGCACCTTTAGCTCTTGTTTCCCAACATCTGTGATCCCAGTGTCCTCTGAGCTGGTTTGTGGTTCACAATGGGAGACTCGATTTGTTTATGCAAGCGAGTCAAGGACGCCTGGAAGGAAGGACGGATTCATTGGGTACCTTGAATTGTATGTCCTGTTTCAATTCACACCCGCTCATGGTTTGTAAAGTGACATCCCAAGATCCAGGTTGGAACTGCAAGCTCAGCATGGCTCGCTGGGGGAGCTCCTGGGTATGGATTCCAAGCTCGCATGAAGGGAATGCACGGAACATAAAGAATCTTATGGAGGAAGAGTGGTGCAGTGCTTCTTCCAAGATGGGATCCGTTTGCATCCACTTGGACCAAAGGACATGTGTCTATGCAAGTTGTAGGATTCAGCTGAACACAATGTCGCTTAACCCATTTGCACAGCTTGAAGTAAAGCGTGTGCCGCAGTCGGTCGGACAGTGCGAATAGTAACTGACCAATCCTTGGCTCAGGGTAAAACGCAGTCAGCACTTCTTTACGTAAACCCAAGTGCAAGAACAAAAGGATTTGACAGAAAGAAACACGATGGCTGACAAGCTCGATGTCGATGCTTTTGGCATTTAATGGTTCCTATATACTGTATATTGGTTGAAATCAGCTCGACTCTTGCTTTGTTATCACTTTCTCGAGAGGGCTTCGAGCATTAGATTTGACACGTCGAGACTGTGAGATTGCAGTAATGGTGTGCTCACCGACAAAGCAACTTAGCTGCTTCTTTTTTCCATTTCAAAGGCGGTTGGCTGTTGCATTTCTTTCCTTGCCGACACTGTCGAATTGAGGCCGAATGCTTCTATTTGAAGCCCGTGTGCTGGTGCGACATCGAAAATTACACTTGTGCCACATGCTGTGAAGTGAAGTCAGATTTCCTTTTCTCTTGAGAGAAGACCATGCACTGACCTTCCATGCATGCATGTGTTTGGGTGAAGCGATCTGTTTGTTGAACCGCTTGCCGTGTCACCGCCGCAATTTATTGGTGTCCCAGACCATGCACAAATGACTTCAATGCAATCACCTATCCAACCTCTTGCATGACTAGCTGTGAAGCAGATCCTACTTTCAGAACCTCTCGCACTCATTGTAAACTCTTGACTTTCCAACAGAACAAGGGCACAGACCATGGCAGTGTGAGTCTTAAGGGGTGAGGCTGTATTGGCTTCAGAAAGCCTTTGTCTTGGAGGTTGGATTTCTTGCACCTTTGGCTAGGTTGGATCCCATCACTAGTAGGTTGGAGGCCATCGCTTCTGGGTTGGAGGCCATCCCTAGTAGGTTGGGGGCCATCACTAGTAGGTTGGAGACCATCGCTAGTAGGTTGGGGGTCATCGCTAGTAGGTTGGAGGCCATCGCTAGTAGGTTGGAGGCCATCGCTAGTAGGTTGGAGGCCATCGCTAGTGGGTTGGAGGCCATCGCTAGTAGGTTGGAGGCCATCGCTAGTAGGTTGGAGGCCATCGCTAGTAGGTTGGATCCCATCGCTAGTAGGTTGGAGGCCATCGCTAGTAGGTTGGAGGCCATCGCTAGTAGGTTGGAGGCCATGGGTTGGAGGCCATCCCTAGTAGGTTGGGGGCCATGGCTAGTAGGTTGGAGGCCATCGCGAATAGGGTGGGCGGGCGTCGCTAGTAGGTTGGAGGCCATCGCTAGTAGGTTGGAGGCCATCGCTAGAAGGTTGGGGGCCATGGCTAGTAGGTTGGAGGCCATCGCTAGTAGGTTGGAGGGCATCGCTATTAGGTTGGAGGCCATGGCTTTCTCAAGCCGCTGCCTTTTTTGAAGCACTCCAGCTTTTGAACTTACACTTGGTAGAAGACAAGTCCATACTTCGCACTCACTAACCAAACATTGTAGTAGGTAAAAGGTCTCATGATTCATGGATGAATTTGCCTAGGTCACTCGCAGACCGCTGCTTTCGTGCCTTCGACAAAGTCTAATTTGTATTGGCACCACTTCACTCATTAGGGAACCTGACAGTAGAGGCACCTGCTGTTTCAAGAATCCGACAGTCCAGGTTTGCATGCTTTACATGGCACACTCCGAGCAGGGCAACACTGCATGGACCATTCATTCTAGACATGAGATTGGCATGTGGTTTGAGTTGAACTTCCATCACGCGCCTGTTGTTGTTGTCGTCGCCATTGTGGGTGAGGGAGACAGAGAATAAATATGGATAGATACGCTGTCGCGGTAAATGCGAGGGAGTGTAGCTGGGTGCCAGGTGCCTCGTGCTTGCGGCGCTATGCGTCCTTACTGGTCATGTACTGAGTGCAAAGGACGAAGAATGCAGTCTTCAATGGGGGAAGCGCCTGCCATGACTTATCATGAGCCCAGCGCTGTCATCCGAGTGCTGTCATGGCAGCTAGGTCGAAAAAACAATTCTTCAGAACAGTTTATTTTATGCCTTCTCTAGAGGCAATTGCTTCATTGGAGCGATTCGAACTCCTCGTCGGGATTTGGGCTCCAACTCCAGGCTGTCTGAGATTGCTTTTGGATCACGTCAAAAAACACGACTTTCCAATGTTTGTTCCATTCTTTGACAGCAGACGGTCTCGACAGGCTGCCAATGCAAGGAACCCAGGCTTGATTTGCTAAACTAAACTTGTCATTACTTGTTCTACAAGACTGGAAGTCGATGTAGTCGCATGACAGAATCTGGTTCTGAACTTTTGGCAGCTTGAACTTCAACCAAATCACTGTTTATCGAACTGGAACAGCTGCACTTCTTGGTTTTGATCGGGTGGCCTGATTGCCCGTGTGTTTGAAGATCCACTTCGACTCCCCAATGTCATTGGAAACTCGTTGACGACAGCTTTGAGCGTGCCACCGTGACAAGAACTTAGCGCCGGCCAGGTAGAAGTGGCTGACTCTAAGGAGACCTCATCGCTTGGCTCTTTACTCTTAGAATATCTTAGATAATTCTCCTTGTCCAAGAAGAGAGGTAGGATCAAAGTAGCTGAGAGCTAAGCAGTAGCATGAAGCTATTGCGCTCTAGTACCGTAGAACCCTTCACATGATTGAAAGAAACCAGCATTACCGTGAAGGCATGTTGTACAGGGTTGTTGTGAAGGCTTTGGGTGCTGAAGGCAGTTGTATTTGCAGTCTGTTTCGTTGCTGTCCAGCTTGAATTGTGCCCTACTCGCAGAAACCGTCACAAGTCTCCAGCAGCCTGACAGTTTGAGAGTGAGTGCCACAGGACATCAGCACAGTCATCAGCCAAACGAGCATATTTGATCACATGTGCATCATTCTTGCAGGTGAGGCTTCATTCAATGTTCTTGTACTACACGCCCCACCAACTCTACCACCCTAGCACCGTGCAAGGGCAATGCCTGTATGAGATGTAAATATTGTGTGCCCACCGTGTTTGACACCATCAACATCCATCAACCAATAAGTCCGCAATCCTTTGCTATGAGCCTTGGCAATGCCAGCAGCCTCTTGACTTGCACCAGTCATAAAGACATCCTTTTTGTGAGCCCTGGCACTCTGAGTGAGCGTTTGACTCAATCGGATGGCAGTTTTTTTGCTTTCTGGCAAGAGCTTTTGACAAGACATCCAAAGCAACTTTGCTTAGCAACAGCTCTTTTGTGTCATTGGCTTGCTCTATGCACAAGTACCATACTAAGCGCAATCATGTCTATATACAATATTTTTTGTATATTTTCACCACCAGACAGTCACAGAGCAAGTAACGAAGGTTACTGAAGCGTGGATGCAGTCTAGTGTTCACCGCAGGTCCACTTGCTCGGTTTTGGTCAAAGGTGGTGCCAATCGTAGAAGTAGCTTCGGTGGCTTCTGGCTTGATCTCGCATGTGATGAGAAAGGATAAACACTTGCTGCAGAAGAGCAAGGCATCAATAGATTGTAGAGCTTCGCAGACCGGCGATGCCGGTTGGGCGCGTGTGCGCTATTGTGTTCAGTTTCTGTTTTTTTTTGCAGCTGTCCGTTGCCTTTGCATTTCTTGCTTGGTTAATATGATTGTTGTTCCTTTCGAATGCGTCGCGCGCGCGCGCGCGCGCCCCCGAGACCTCATATCAAACGTTTGAGGCGCGCGCGCTCGCAAAAAGAGACCAGGCCAAATCCCTCAGACTGGTGTGGAGAGGCCGTTTTTTATGACCAAAAAGATTGTAAATATCAATGTATTTTGCCGCTCGAGGCTTCCAAAAGGTGCCCCAAAGCCACGCTATTTGCGTAGTTTTTGGTGCTTTTACGCCAGGAAGCCACGTAAGTACCGATGGTTTTGAGCTATCGAGTGCTCAAAGCAACGGTATTTACGAGGTTTTCTCGAAAGACGCGATATTTTCAGCATTTCGCGCACCACGCCCCAAAAAACGTCGATAGTCACGCAGTTTTTGCAACGCTGCGACATGTTTTTTTCTAGATCGAAATTTGTGAACGCACTGTAATTTACAGTGTATTGCGCCTTGGCGCAAACCGAAAAAAGGCTTCAAAGCTGTTCCTGTAAGGCCCAAATCCAGCTCCTTTCCAGTTCCCAAATTTTTTGTCCAACTTGCCTGCTTTTGGGACGACTTTCTCGACATCCCAGAGTCCTCCAAAAAAGGCCTCTCCCCCACCAGGCTCAAGGAGTTTGCTACATTTATCGTTTTGCCGTTTTTGGAATCGCTCCAAGTGGCAAAACCGGCTCGAAATGCAGGCGAAAGCACAATTTTTAAGCTCGACTTCACAAAGCACCGTAGGCATCGGGAGCACCCCCCCGTAGCTAAAGCTATAGGCGGCGATAAGTTACACCATACGGCATCGCCGGAGTGGACCAACCAACGCCGGATGCCGCCGACCCCAGCAAAAAAGGTTTGCAAACCCACGGCCGCCACAGCCTTTAGCCCATGTTGTTCTGCGCGCCAATGCGGCCGGAAAGGGTGCCAGGCGGCAGCTTCGAAGCCAATTGAAGATCAATTGAAGGACATGTGGCAGCCACCCGCGCAAGGGGCCGAGCAGGTGCCTTCACTGCAGCATCAGCCGAAAGGGTCAGCGTTCCAACCCGGGTGAGGGTTCTACGCTGCGGTGTTCTGGGCGCCGCCCAGCTTAGCCCAGGCGAAGCTGGTGTCGGCGGACACTTGTGATTATTCATGGTGTCTTCGATGTTCCATGACCAGATGAGGACCAACCCGTTGTGATTGGCTGTGGGCTAGAGCCGCGAGGCATCACCACCAGTTGAGAACATCCCATGCTCAGACCCGGCTGATTCTCCAGGCAGAGTTGGGATCCTTAATCAAGCTCTTCAGGCAGAAACTTGTAGAGCCACATGCTTCATATAACTATATTTTGGTGAGTTTAAACATTAGATTAGAACTCATGGAGCGGACCTTCCATTTAGATAGGGTTCCTTGGAATTTATGACGATTTACCCGTGATGAACATCGAATTTTTAGAAAACATTCATGTTTTGCAGACACTAAGGAGGGTTAAGAGTGCACCGGTGCACTTAAATCTTTCAATTTAAAATGTGTCGTCGACGTCGTTTCAAATCCGTGGTTTCTCAAACCGCCTGATAATTTTGACTCTCATCCGTTCTTGGAGGCAATGGTGCTTTGGAGCCTCAGATGCAGAGGGACGGTAACTCTGGTTCATTTTGTTTTTGTTGCATCGTCGGCCTTTCTCCGCTTTCTTTCAATTAGTATCCGTACGAGGCAAGTAAGGTCCAGCAAGGCAACTATATTCCTTCATACGTATCATATATTGTAACATATTATAACTTACAACTATATAGGTCCATATAGGTTGTTCTTGCTATATAGAGATTGATAGGTGAAGATTAAATCCACTTTTGACCTCTGGAAAACTCCACTGTCGGGCTGCGACGTGCTGTGAAGGAATGTGCTCTTCTCGATTTGATATGTTTGGCTCTAAAGTTCTTGTTTAGAAAGACACCAAACATCAAGAAAACATGAGACAGTAGTGGTTGGGTGATGTGGTGTCATAACGCAACAAGTTATATGAGTTGGTTGTTTCGGATGTGCAATCCCATGCCTTCGATGATCGAGTCCAAGTCCATCCACATTGATTTTTCTAATTTAAACAGAGCATTGGCGCAGGGCTAAGCTTTTCGCCATGGCGTTGGAGCAGCCTTTGCTCCTAGACCTTCCGCGAGAGGAAGGCTGGGCATGGACAGCCAAAGAGCGCAGATGGTTCCAGGTCTTAGCAGAAGCCTGTCAAATCTTAGCAGACAGTCAAAATGGCCCCAACGTTACTCGTTTGGTGGCGTGGTTCGTAGCTTTTGTATCGCAGTTGACTCAATCTTTAACAACTGGCTAGCAAGTGCTCTGCTTCTCTGATCCTTCAGCCAGGTGATTGGATGATGGAACCATCGTCACCAAGTCATTCTCGGCTTCGAGGTTTCTTTGGGAAGTATCTGTTGACACACACGCACACACAGAGACACATGTACCACCATTTGATTCGACATCCATACACGTATTGGCTTTTTGCCGGCCTGGTTAGATTGCATGAGTTCTCACACTAGAAGGATGCAACGCATTGCGATAGACAGACACAGAACCCTAACCCAGATCACCAACCCGACAGAACAACTCTTGTTCAACAACTGCGATTCAGCAGCCATGATGTACCAACCATTAAGATCAAACCAGCTTTTATTTTGTTACCGAATGAATGATAGGTTCCAAATTTGATCCACTTGACGCACTTGAGAGGCTTGCGAAGCGCGCCGGATGAAGGCACGGTACACAGTTTCAGCAAGCGCCATTCAGCACATCGGAGCAAGCGGATACCTGCAGTACCTTCTTGAACTTGCTTCTGCAATTTTGGCCTGGGATGATGTGGGTCCACACACCCTTCTCCAAAGTGAGTTTAGTGTTCAGTTTAGTTTGCTTTTTGCATAGTACGTCAGTACCCGACAAAGTTCCTTTGTGGATGCTTGACAAATCCAATGGCTTCAGCCAGTGTGGCCGCCTGGACCACCACCAGAATTCTACACACAGGCCGCATAGCTGTTTCTAGGCACAGAGCCTCTGCCTGGCAGCACATCTCCAGTTTCTCGCATGTTTGGGGTCCCCAGTGACATCGACGATTGTGTCAAGCAAGGAAATGCGATATGCCACCCATCCATCTTCTATTTGATAATTGGGTTTTTGCATCCTTGGACTGAACGCCTTTATCTGGCATCGCACACATCATCGTCATGAGAGACCACACGACAACTTTATACCTTCAGTGTGCACCTTCCCGTGAACCAGTATTGATAGATGTTCATTGAGCTTTCAGATGTGAATCCGACCAATCCTGAAACGACTGGCTGATCTTTGCATGGCTCATTCAGTAGCTTCTTTGTGGCATTGATGTCAGCATTCCGATGACCAGTCTGGCTGCTAGGAACATGCGGACCTTCCTGCAAGGCTCATTGATGGCACCCGACTGACTCAGATTTTCTTGAAATGTGATCCCGCCAGATTCCACAAGTGTCACTTGATCCAACAAGGTTTTTGTAACAATTTCCCCCCCAGAGATACTTGCATGAGCTGTTTCTATCGTGCATGCTCAGACCTTGTGCGCCCTGTGCTTTCTATATGAACTCTCTTCTTTGCTAGTGCTAGTGTAGGACCACGGTGTGCAGACGGCCATGGTGTTTCGTGCGTTCTTTTTTGTGTCTTCTGCTTTACGTCAGGCTTCACCGCAGAGAGGGGCCCACTGAGTTCAGCACTCTTAGATTTCGCGACGAGTGCAGGGGAGGAGGAGATCGCCCACACTTGTTGAGACTTTTATTCTGCTCTTCTTTTGGAAGCGTCTGCAAACTGCAGTATTGAGAATGATAGCAGACATGCAGACCAGGAATGCACCACAGTCAATATTATATAGATTTTTTTTGGAGATTGTGCAACCGCAGCTGTTTCCAC